CACACACACACACACACACACACACACACACACACACACACACACACACACTAACATAATTACTATCATGATCACAACCAAAAGAAAAAAAAAAGAAAAAAAAAGACAGTCGTTAATGAGTTCCTATGAAATGGCAGCTTGCACTACTGTAATGTTTCTTATGCCCAGGAAATTGATGTTGTTTCAGTTCTGCCCCCCCACCCCTCACCTCCTTAGCCCCCTCCTCAGGGCTCCTGACTCTTTCAGCAGCCTTTCTACTGCTACTCCTTGGCTCCTCCTTATTGCTGTCTTTCTGCCACACTCCTGATCTTCTAGTAGGAGAGATCTACACCTAGCCTTCTCGGACAAGGGAGAAAATCTCGGAGGGCCCGTGTTCAAGTTGCGCACGTTAAAGATCACTTGGTGGTCTAAAATTGATAAGAGTAGGCTTCGGCCGCCACCCGGGCAAAATTCAAAAATTCCTACCAACTGAAAATGTTAGGTGTGTCCCGCGCGCTCATATGACCTTATGCAGTTGCGAGCGCTGTAAAACGCTTACCAAAAAAAAAAAAAAAAAAGTTGTTTCAGAATGCTGTCGTGTCTGCTGGTAAAATTTTTATGATAATATGTGTTTCGACGCAACGAACCAGGCGCTGGTCAACTTTTGGATATATGTGGTTATTGGTACCACCTTTAAAAAAAGTCGTCCATTTTGAATAGAAACGGAAATATTTGAGACCGAAGGAGGTCAAGGCCGCCTGGTTTCAGAGGTAAAATTACCGAAAAAATGGCTGCCAAAGTTTGGTAACATTCATAGCCTGAAAGTTCTTGGAAATTGAAAATTTACTTTTTTTATGCATTAAATAAATGTTTAAAAAACGTTAAATCCACACGAAACTGTGTTTTTATATGGACGTAAAAAGTATTGAGCGAAAAAAAAAATGTATTGCCTATCGGCCAAAAACGCGGATTTCTTTGATTTCATTATTTTGACGAGCGCCTGATTTCACCACAATGCCACACATATTATTATTATAGATTGTAAAGCGCCAAGCGCTTGCTGTTAAGCGTGAATTTGCGCTATACTAAATGCTTTTTATTATTATTTATTCTCAGGTAGTCGAAGACCAGGAAGCGACAAAGGTCGTGCTACTGAAAGGGATTGCCAAATTGGGAAGCAAAAAAGAAGAGTTAGAGAAGATTATAAAACAATTTGTTCACACCAGTGAGTGTCATGGTGTTGAAGACACAGAGAGCGTATCTCACACATCTGACTTGACAGGCAAATGCAACACAGGACCCCCAGCTGTTGGAGTGGTGGAAAGTGCAGTGCCTACGCCTATCCAGACAAATCCTCCTCGCGCCTCTCAGAGCGGGAAGCGTCCGCACCAGCCGAAGAACTACCTCAAAATTCAACCGAAACGTGAGGACAGAGTTAATGGACAGGTGGTTCTTGCCGGGACGCTCTCATTTCCGGTTCTACAACAATCAACTTCCGGTTTCTTCTGCGAAACTTCGTCGTCAGGAGTTGGGGGAATTTGCGCCATTTCTGAAAACAATTCCCGCGTCGCTTGTGCGGTGGAGCAGAAATCAGCGCCTCCTTTGAACTGTAAAGTTGATTCTTTAGAGACCAATCCATGTTTTGGCGGAAGTCGTTCCCACAACCACACTGTACCGTGCACCACAAATCCGAGCTCTTCCCGTCAACATGTGAGCACCAATATCCCTTTTTCATCTTCATTCACGTCAGAAAAAGCAAACGATGACAATGTTGTTTTGTCGAAAAGCCACAAGGTCTCTTGCTTCCAAGTTTCAGATACCGCCTTCGCAGAGAAAACTAGCTCGTCCCACGTGACCGAAGTTGCAGCGGTGTCTCCCAACGATGACCGGCTAAACAACACTCAAGCGCCCATGTGTACTTCGGTCTCATCACACACACAATTACCTCAAAGTCCACTGATGTCTATTTCTGACTTCCTAGACTGGATAGATGGCGTGTCGAACACACTCGTGCCCTCCGTTGCTATGGCCACACCCTCCACCCAGTCAAATAGTCACCAGTCTCTGGGTATGTCTCATGGTGTTCCTTCGGTCTCAACTGTCGATCCAATCAACTCTGTGTCAACGGTTCCTGTGACCCAGTCGTATACCTTAAGTGGTATGGGGAGTCTTTCCATTTCCCGACTACAAACAGAGCGGCAGAATCATGGCGCATATCTCCAGCCCCCAGGGTCATCTTTCCAAAAAGAATCGCTGCAACAAGAAGGCTGCCAGCAAATGAGATGCCATCAACTGTTGCATAATCCGCAGGACCCTCAGCCTCAGAGCAACCAGCGAGAGATCAGACAACGTTCACAAACTGCAGGCTGCTACGAAACTCTATCCTGTATGGGGGACTTCACACCACAAGGCCATCCGAATCTGCATTCGCAACAGCAACAAAACCTGCAACAGCAACAACAACAACTACAACAACAGGAACAGCAACAACAACAACAACAACAACAACAACAACAAGAAGAAGAGCAACAGCAACACTATCAGCAACAGCAAGCACAGGCGTATGCAGCTGGGCTCGAGCACCTCAAACAATGGAAGGGAGGACAACAGTCAAGCTTTTTGCTTCCCCAACCACCTCGTCAGCAGGTTAGTTCTGACTGTTTGCCCGTGATCTCAATGCAACATCGTTCTACTGACGCTCCCTATGTTCAGTCGACAGGACCTCAGGAAGACGGCATCAAGGACACTGAAAGTTTAATGATCAGGAACATCACAGAATGGCTTCTCTCAAAAACAAATGACCAGCCGTGTCCTGGTTCATACTCATTCGGCCTGTCTCCCGACGAAGTTTTGGAAACCCTTCTGTCAACAGAAAATTTGTCTCAAGAAAGTAATCGAAATACAGGCAAAGATCGCCAAAACAAAAACCAATTCAATCAAACAAATCCTCGGTGGGAATATTCTAAAGACGGAGACGGCACAGTTGGGCATGCAAGTATGACAGGCACGTCCTCGTCGTTGGACCATCTTCTGACTCGAAAAAGGTTGCGAAAAGATAACAATAATTCTCAACAAGAACTCGATTGGGACGTCCAGGGTTTCAGCAAGCCCACAATGGGAGGACAGGATATGACGTATGAAATCCCCCCGAGCACACCCCCAAATCAAGGCACAGACAATTCGGTGACGGGAAATGCTCCGCGGAAAAATCTTCCCGCTCAGCCTTCAGGCAGGATGAAGCCCGACATTATACTGTTCTGTCCAGACGACTCGGGTCAAACAACCGAGAACGAAACTGGGGTTGGAAGACCCCTCGTCTCCATAAACTCCGAGTGCTTTGAGCCGCAGAATTTGTTGTCAATTGAGCTTAGCTCGATGGAGGAATTTTCCGAAGACTAAGACTCTCTCTCTCTCTCTCTCTCTCTCTCTCTCT